ATGGGAAGATTATTTATTCAGCTTTCAGATAATCTCAGTTTCAAAAAATATACCCTTATGACTGGTTTTGTGATCCAGGGTTGTGGGTTTCCATTAACACAGTTTTACCACGCAACTTTATATAAAATTATTTTAAAAAGTTTGTCAAGACAAACTTTGATGTTGGCTCAAACCAGAAAGCTTTAATAGCTCAAACTTTAACTGTTTTAAGGCCATCCAGTCTCTCAGACAACCAGACAGACAGATTTTTAGGTGTAAGTGTAAGAACACATCGAATGTAATCGGCCCTTCAGAGAGCAGAACACACAGATGGGGCCTGACCTCCGCGGTGCCCCATCTCACGCCGCTCTTCCCGTCTGTCTCGCCCTGGGCTGCATGCCTCGCTCTGAGGAAGAACGCTTCTGCACACGAGCTCGCCTGTGCTCAGGTCAGCGCTGCCGTGCTCCTGTACAGACACACAGCGCAATATCACACTGTACCTACAGCATATTACGAATGAATCAGGTTTGAGAGCTGCAGTAGAGGAGAAGATTTCCAGCTCCTCACACAAAGCATCATATAATAATGAAGTATAGAACTATATCACAGAAATCTCACAGACTGTTAGGATGATACTCTTAGTCTATCCACGTTTATTTCATATGGACAAAAAGCAGCATGAACATAACTGCTAAATATCTGAAAGGAGTTGATTCCAAATTTAAGAAAAAGAAGCAAAGACCAAGGGTATACCCTGCAGTAAGATTTTTTATGTTTTTTTAAAGAAGTTTCTTATGCTCATCAAAGCTGTATTTATTTGATCAAAAATACAGAAACTGTAATTATGTGAAATATTATTGCAATTTAAAATAAGAGTGTTCTATTTTAATATACTTTAAAATATAATGTATTTCTGTGATGCGCAGCTGTATTTTCAGCATCATTACTCCAGTCTTCAGTGTCACATGATCTTCAGAAATCATTCTAATATGCTGATTTATTATCAGTTTGGAAACTGTTGTGCTGCTTAATATTTTTTTGGGACCTGTGATACTTTTTTCAGGATTCTTTGAAAAATAAAAAGTTAAAAAGAACAGTGTTTATTCAAAATAGAAATTTTGTGTTACAATATACACTACTATTCAAAAGTTTGGGGTCAGTAAATTTTTTTCTTTCTTTTTTAAAAACAAAATAATGCTTCTATTCAGCAAAGGTTTGTGTTAATTGGATAAAAAGTAATAGTAAAGACTTATATTGCTAGAAAAGATTATTTTGAATAAATTAACTTTTTATCTTTTTGTTCATCAAAGAATCCAGAAAAAAAATATATATATATTAATTAGCACAACAGTTTCAACAGTTTTTCTGTATTTTTGATCAAATAAATACAGCCTTGATGAGCATAAGAGACTTCAATAATAAACATTAAAAATCTTACTGATATCAGACTTTTGAATGGAAGTGTACATTCACCAAAAAAGGAAAAAAGTTAAATAAATTAA